TATTCTATTCTATTCTATTCTATTCTATTCTATTCTATTCTATTCTACAATGCAGCTTTTTCTTTTCCCCAGGCTCCTTCAAGCCTCTGCTTGCTTGTCTTTTGGTTTCCTGAAGGTCCAGCAACTCCTTCGCTATCCTGTATCATCTTCCTGGATTTTGTTATTGGCTCCTTTCTGTCTCCACCTAAAGACCCTCATACCAACTCCAGCAGCACCGTCAGTCAGAGACCTTCTGTTAGCTGGCTGGCAGGGACAGAAGCAGGCATGCTACAGAGATTTAACAGTCTAGAATGACCATGAATCAGGGATTGCAGTAGATCAAGAAGGTCTGGATCTACTGCTGGTGGAAAAAAGTGGGTCAATCATTGTCAAGTGACTGTAAGGATTGGACCAACATGGCTGGTTTTGCACTGTTTGAAGGACATTTGAGAGGATTTTCCTTTATTAAAGCAATCAAGGAAGAAAAACATGAATTCGTACCATGGTGCCTAAAATTAAAGAATACCTATTACTGAAATTTGTTGCTTCTCCTGGTTTTGGTGAAGATGACGAATTGCTTCAGTGTGGAATTCCCCTATCTCCTTTTGTATGTATATGGATGGGGCATTCAGGTACAAACATCTATATAAACACACCAGCAAAATAAGTATATAAGTATATTTTGAGCAACAAGTCTATTTACCGTATTTTTTGCAGTATAAGACGCTCCAGATCATAAGACACACCTAGCTTTTGGGGAGAGAAAAAAATCTGCCTCTGCCTGCCAGCAATTTACCTTGCAGCAAACAGCCGGGTCAGCTTGAGCACAGCCTGATTTAGCACAAGCAGCTGATTGGCGGTTGGATCGATCTCCCAGAATACCGCTGATCAGCTGTTCCAGGCTGCAGGGATCACCGCTGTTGCCTCCGTGCCCCCCATTTTCAGCCTGTTCTAGGCAGCTGCCGCCGCTGATCAGCACCACCTGGTACGGGCCAAAAACAGGACACATGGGGACCGAAAATGGGGTGCACAGAGGCCAAAAAAGGGATGCACAGAGGCGGCGAAAGGTGGCAGCGATGGTGAGTGATGGTGATCCACGCAGCTTGGAACAGTTGATCGGCCGGGCTGTGCTGAAACTGACCAGGCTGTTTGCTGCAAGGAGGCAAATTGCTGGGAGGCAGAGGCCGAAGGGTGGGGGCTGGTGGGTAGGCGGTACTTGGGTAACATTCACCCTATAAGACACACAGACATTTCCAGCCACTTTTGGGGGGGAAATAAGTCCGTCTTATCATGTGAAAAATACAGTAATTCCTGCCGAATGATTAAATCGGTTTCCAGATCTGAGAAAATGCATTTTGTTGGTTCTTGGCTGGAGTTCTTTTACATTGGCTGTCCCCAGCTTGGGATTTTTGTTGCACTATCAATTTGCATCTGCTCCAGCCAGCACAGGTGTTGGTTGAGGGAAAATGAGGGCTAGTAATCCGGTGCATCCAAATAGGGTGAGACTGAACCCAATATTCAAATGTTTATTGAATATTTGCCCAGGAAAGAGATTGCAAAAGAAGTATAAACTTGGGGAACAATCCACTTATAACTCCATTAACTAGAGATCTGGGCTGGATCCTTAAGGACAATAGTGCACAGAGATGAACAATTTCTTTGGTCATCTGGTGATCAGGCAGGTTCTGTGGTTGGAAATCCTTGAATGCCCGTCAAGTCGTTATCAGATGAAAGGAGACAAAATCCTTGTGTGTCTAATCACACTTGGCCAAATAAAGCATTCAATTAAATTCAAATCTAATAAAATAACATTTGGCGGGGGGGACTTTGGGGAAGGAGGCGTCAGACAGATTCATAGATGGGTGAGGCTCATAACTTGATGATGGAAGCCTTTCCAAGAAAACTAGGACCACTGGAGTTTGTGTACACCAGTTTTCAGGGCAATCTCCAAATCAATCTCCCCAGTCTGTTTTTTTCTGGATAAGCAGACCAGCCTCTTAGAATTTCTCATACCAGGCTGGGAATATGTCAACAATAAGACAAGAAGGTCTCCGAGTCATTTATAATTGGAATGATTTGTGGAAATGGGGTGACAAATTTCCTGAAAGCATGGATTTTTTTTCTGCAAGCAAGAAAGTGTAGTTCTCAAGTTTTAAACAGCCCTTCATGAAAGAGCAGGTTCTTCATTCAGCCACAAGATGGCAGCCGTATCAGCCAAGACATCCTTAAATTTTGTTTCTTTCTCAGGACTTGGAAGGATTTAGTTTTTACCCAGTCTCTGGTGGAGCTCAGGGTATGTTAGAAAAATTGCTTATGATGCAATAAAGTTACCTGCACATCATTTTTAAGTGACTGACAAATCTGTATTGCTTATTTCAGCCAAAATGTGTAAGCAGATTGCATTGCTTTGAACATCCATCATATTTGCTATTGCCTATTTGCCAGAATATTTTAAACTGTTTAAAAGCTGCTTTATACTGCTTCAATTCCAAAGCACCATGTGATGACCTGTTAGTCTGAATACATGGGTCTGTCAATGTATCTTCTATCAACAGATTCCCTCATAAAACTAGACAAAAGCCTTAAGAAGACCAGACCAATGACACCCACCATTTCCTATAAACTGTTTTGAACAATAATGAGATCATTTAAAGATAGTTAATAAAGTTACAGTCTCTTACACTGTTTTCTTGATAACAAGTGTTGAAGAAAATTGAAAATGTGATGGACAGCCAAGAAAACAAATGGATCATGAAACAAATAAGTCCCTTTGAGGCATAAATGATCAGGCTCAAATTATCCTCCTCTGAGGAAGACTGATGCAGGGGAAAATGGAAGGGAAGGGAAAGAGAAAGGCTAGCAGCAAGGGAGATGGGCACAATTGCAGTGGAAATGGGTATAGCTTTGGAAGACTTGAAGGACCAGCTTAGGAACAGACCATCTATGTCAAGGATGTCAAACTCCAGGCCCGC